ACCAAACTAGATCTTCTGAATGTGGGTGACAGTTGTATCGCTGGGACAGAGTGTGGGACCACTGACAGTGGGACCAGGATTTACCCCTACTGCTTATACTGGCTTTTTGGGAACTTATTCTCTTTGGATGGATATCTTGCTCAGCCTAGACCTTGGACCTTCCCCAAAGCAACATGCCTTACCCTCTCTGGGGATTGGGTTGGAGTTTGGTGGTGTGTGTGTGTGGAAGGAATGGGATGAGAGGAGGGAGTGGGAACTGGGATTCGCATAATGAAAAAAAGATAGTTTGTTTTCTTTTAAAAAAATAATAAGAACCAGTGGAGAATTATGTAGAATCTGAACAAGTGTCCCAAGTCATTGCAACAGCATCTAAGAGTTCATATGGTGAGGCTGCCTGGTTCAGTGGCTAACAGGTACATTTTGGGCTTCAGCTCTCCACTGATGAGGCCTAGGACTGTTTATATTTGTTGACATTATCTTGTAGTTCATTTTCTTATTTAACTCTATTTATTTGTAAAACAATATTACTTTTTAGTGTGTGTGGAGGGGCAGGGCCTATGCATGTGGGTGCAGATGCCAGAAGAGGGCACTTTGGAGCCCAAAGTGCCCAGAAGAGGCATCAGATTTCCTGGGGTTGGAGTTACAAGTGGTTTTTTATGATGGACTTCGGCCTTGGGAACCAAACTCTAGTCTACAGGAGCAACACATACTCCTAAGTGCTGAGCCATACCTGCAGCCCCACATTGGTCTGGTGTTTTGTTTTGTTTTGTTTTGAAGAGTTTCATACTGTGGCTGAGGATATTCACTATGTAGTGAGGAACTCACTATGTAGCCTGGACTGGTCTCAAACTCATGGTAATCCTCCTGCCTCCATCCCCAAATGTTGGGATCACAAGTGTGAGGCAAATATATATATATGCTCAAGAATAATTTTCTTAGTTTGGGAGAAAAACAACACAGCAGACAGGCTGAGAACCTGAACAGTTGCCAGAAGGAAGGAGATAAAGAGGAAGAGAGAAAGCCATGCTTATTGCAATAGAAGTCAGCTGGTCAGCTCCACGACAGAAGGATGCTGTGAAGAAAGGGTAAGAAAGCCCATATATACATATATTTAATTATCTGTGTAAGAGAAATAGGAAGTTCAGCATGATAGTTACTGCTGTGGTTTTGAGAGGGTGGTAACATTTTTGTCAGGGTCCAGGAAGTCCAAGATTCATTGGGTTTTGGCCCTGGACAGAGTTAGCGTAGTGGTACACACTCAGCTGCTTATCTCTCACTACTTATATTAATTTAATAAAATGGTAATATGTGCACTGGGAAGATAGTTTAGTTAGTAAACAGCTTGTTAAAGAAGGATGAGGACCTGCGTTCAATGCTCCAGAACCTATGTTAAAAGAAAGAAAGAAAGAAAGAAAGAAAGAAAGAAAGAAAGAAAGAAA